AACACAATAGTGCCACATTCTGATATTTTTGTTTAATAAAGGTTTCCATGGTTTTTAACAATAATTTTTTACTTATCCTCGTATTTCCATAATAATGATTTGAGTAAGTTTTCATATTAAATTATTTTTGCATTCTGATTCTTTGTTATATGATGAACTTCTTTTCTTGCAGGGAACTCCAAATAGATACACCTTAGTTGATCTAAGAGGCATATCTCCTTCTTTGAACCTCATCAAGTTTTAGTATAATGTTGGCTTTCCTTCATTACACAACTCATTTATTCATTAAGGGACATAATGTTCAGTCAATGTACTGGTCTAAATTGCCATCAACATTGTTGTTTCAGTAAATACCTCACCTCAGCCCACTCACATTCACAGTGGCAGCATTTTAAGAATCCTCTCTGCTTCTTAAGTTATTAATTATATAGACATAGCAGCATCTTCCCCATCCTCTTTACCCCAGGTCCACAAGTAAACAGAACTCTATCCAGTCTCTTCTATCATAAACACACACTTCTGAAGGCATGTAAACCAGCCCTGCATGGCTTTATCACCACCACCAGTGGTGGTGATAGACACCAGTGTTTTGTCTGTTTTAGACAACCAGTGTTTTGTCTGTTGTTATTTGGTCTGTATAATCTGTTTGGGTTCTTTAATAGAAAACACATGATTATCTCAATAAATATGAAATAGTTGACACATTTCAATACCCTTTCATGATTGTTGTTGTTAAGTGCCGTCGAGTTGATTCTGACCCATAGCGACCCTGTATAGGGTTTCCAAGGAGCTGCTGGTGAGTTTGAACCACTTTAGTTCAAATGGCTTTGCAGTCTGGCGCATTAACCCACAGCGTCACTTTCATGATTAGAACCTCTTAAAAAACTAGAACAGGGCTCAACCAGAGAAGCGTAAAAACTAAGAGATATATATATTCATCTGTATCTGTTAAGGGAGTCCTGGTGTGGCCCTGTGGGCTAATGTGTCAGACTGCAAAGTCATTTGAACTGCAAGGTCGGTGGTTCAACTTCACTAGCTGCTCCTTGGAAACCCTGTACAGGGTCACTATGGGTCAATATCGACTCGACAGCACTTAACAACAACATATCTGTTAAGGGATTTGTTAGATGGAATTAGATTATGCAATTGTGGGGGTTGGTTATAAATATAAAGTTATAAAGCTGTCTCTGTGTGTCAGATCCTGGAGCTGAAAGTCCATAAGTCAGGCAGTCAAGAATGGAAGGACCGTAAACTATCACTCAATTCACAATAAAAACTAAAAAAACAAAAAAGGAAGGACTCTAACCACACACCTAGTTTGAGAGTCAGAACCCCCAAGAGTCCCAGAAAGGTAGAGCAACTGCAGACCCAGATGTTTTATAACAATGATGTCAGTAGCAGATCAGCAACTTTGTGTGTGTGTGTATGTGTATGTGTGAGCACATGTATGGGTGCTCATGTGGAACATATTACAAAATGACTCCTTCTGTGTGAACTACAAGGTCAGAGTTCGAAACTACCAGTTGTTCTGTGGGAGAAAGATGAGGCGTTCTGTTCCTGTAAAGATTTACAGCCTCAGAAACCATGTATAGGGTCACTATGAGTGGGAACCGTCCACGGCACACAGCCACCACCACCACCTTCAAAATATTTCAAAATTATGGCCCACCCAAACAGAAAACATACAAGTAAAATATCAGATGAAAGATACATCAAATGGATACATTGCAACACTTTCACAGGCACCTACCCTAAATTCAACAACTACTGGTGAAGCTTTCCCCTGAGATCAGGAAAAAGGCAGGAATCTTCTTTTGCCACCACTATTCAAAATTCTATTAACTAGTCAGTTAAATAGACTTATGGTGTGGCGCTGTGGATCAGCACTGGACTGTGAACAACAAAATCAGAAGTTCAAACCCACCAGCTACTCTTCAGAAACCCTATACAGGGTCGCTATGAATCAGAACAACTCGATAGCACTTAACAACAACAGTTAAATAAGGCCAAAAAATGTAAAGACATTCATTATTTAAAAGAAGTACAATTATCTTCATTTGCAGATATATACACACACACACAAATTATCACAGAAGATAAGCATCTTAGTTATCTAGTGCTGCTGTTATCGGGGCATAGGGGACTCCAACCCTGTATTAGAGAATACTTGTCTTTGATGACCAATAATAATCTGTTTAGACAGTTTCACAGAAGCAAAGGATTTAAAAATTTATTGAGAAGAAAGATCTGGCCAGAGGAGTTGAAGAGGGATCTAAGCAACACTACCCTTCCCTCTCTGAGTCTTTGTTTGGTTGGAGTTTTTAAAGAATTTTTGGACAAGGAAGGTGGGAAAGGCTTTCATGTTTATTCATGATTCTGGTTGGGCTGTCTAAAGAAGGTATTTGACATAAACAAATCATTTGTCTTGTAGAAATCTATCATTCGTTCTCCAGCATCATTTCTATCACCAAGTCCATATTTTCCAACTACTGGTCCTTCCTCTTTGCTCCCAACTTTTGCATTCCAATCACCAGTAATGAACAATACATCTTGATTGCATGTTTGATCGATTTCAGATTGAAGAAGTTGGTAGAATTCTTCTATTTCATCTTCACTGGCTTTAGTGGTTGGTGCATAAATTTGAATAATAGTGGTATTAACTGGGCTTTCCTGTAGGCGCATGGATATTATCCTACCACTTACAGCATTGTACCTCATGACTGATCTGGATATGTTCTTTTTGATGATGAATGCAACACCATTCCTTTTCAATTTGTCATTCCCTGCATAGTAAACCATATGGTTGTCAGATTCAAAATGGCCAATACCAATCCATTTCAGCTCACTAATGCCTAAGATATCGATGTTGATGTGTTCCATTTCATTTTTTACAACTTCCAATTTTCCCAGATTCATACTTCGTACATTCCATGTTCCGATTTTCAATGGATGTTTACAGCTGTTTCTCTTCATTTTGAGTTGTGGCCCATCAGAAAATGAAGGTTCTGTGCGCTTTTCTCCCCTGAGCTTAACTCTATTCACGTCATCGTGTTCAACTCTACTTTGAGGAGGCATTTTTTTCCCCAGTGGCATTTTGAGTGCCTTCCCACTTTTGGTCCTGTATCTGACAATGTTTCTCTGCTATTCATAGAGTTTTCAGTGACTAGCGATTCGGAATATAAACCTGTCTAAATATAGTTGTTGTTTTTTTGGTTTTACTTTTGCATAATTAAAAGTCACATCAAAGGGAGAAGACAAGATAGTGTCCTGGTAACAACTCCACCCAGTCTCTCTACAACAAAGACCTGAGAAACCAAGTGAAGCAGATACAGATGATAAGATGATAATCCTAGAACACTGAGCAACAAATGAAAGGAGAAAGAACTAGATTAAGTGCTGACTGGAAAAAGAAACAGACAGAAAACCCACTATCTAGGAAAAAGATGGAGTGGAGACCCCAATGTTGCTATTTTGAGACACAGCAACATAAAGGGGTGAAGGAAAGCCAACATCAAGGAATACCAAATAAGACAGACACTACAGCACTTAACAACAATCTATTTGGAGTTCTGGTGTGGCGCTGTAGGATAAACACTGGACTTTAATATCCGTTTGAACTGCAAGGTCAGCGGTTTAAACTCACCAGGAATTCCTCAAAAACACCATACAGGGCCCGCTATGAGTTAGAACTTAACAAGAACTTTATTGTTTAAAGTGATATTGAAACCTCTCATATGTTTATTCTCATAGTAAACTCATGGTTATAAGACTGAAGTATGCCTGACTTGAGTCATGGTATATTTAGGAGCCTCATATGCATGTGAAAGTTGGACAGCGAATAAGGAAGATCCTAGAAGAATTGATGCATTTGAGTTGTGGAGTTGGAGAAGAATATTAAAGTTACCATGCACTGGAAGAACAAACAAATCTGTGTTGGAGGTAGTACAACCAGAATGCTCCTTAGAAGTCAGTATGGCCAGACTTTGTCTCTAATACTTCAGACATATTATCAAGAGGGACTAAAGGACATCATGCTTGGTAAAGTGGAGAGTCAGCAAAAAAGAGGCATAGATTGGCACAGTGGTAGCAGTAATTGTGAGGATGGCTCAGGCCACGGAGGTGTTTCATTCTGTTGTACATAGGGTTGGTATGGGTAAGAACCAGCTTCACGGCACCTAACAACAATAAGATAGTTTCTCTACATACAGCACGATATACACATTCTAGGCAGAAAACATGTCAACTGAGTCTGTCCTGTCCCCATCCCCATACCTTTAAAGCACTGGAATATAAGTCCTGTCTAATAACTTTTGCTTACACTGGTAGCGTTGTAGGATACGTACCAGTCTGCTAACCACAAGGTCAGCAGTTCTAATCCACCAAGCCCTTCGAGGGAGAAAGATGACCCTTTCTTCTCTCATAAAGATTTACAACTTCAGGAACCCTATATAAGGTCACTATGGTCGGAATGGACTTCATGGCAATAGGTACGTATAGGAGAAGCTAAAATATATAAAGTTTTCCCTCCTGTTTTTCATCAATTTGGATACAGTGTTCCTTCAAGGAAAATCAGGATTTTCTTGCACTGGAGACAGACAGATCAGTGAGGAGATAACAGAACCCCTCCCTGGGAGATGCAAATGATTAAGTGCTTGACTATAGGTTAGTCTCTCACTTCCAAACGCCTGAGAGTCATCTATTGGTCTAGGCCCAACCCTGCAACGCTAGCACAAAGCACCTGAACTGAACCTTCTCCTGACACTTGGTGCATCACACCCCTTCTCCTAGCAGGAAGTCTGCCCCACAGTCTCTATGGGAGCAAAGAATGATGACACCATATTTTAGGCGTAAAGTGAATCATGTCCTGAATATACCGCTGAACATTCTGAGACATGAAGTGTGCAGTGCAGAAAACGGCAAACAGGCCAAAATGGATTGATTTTGTCCGGTCCTGGGCGGGAGCTTGGCGGAGTCAGAGAGACCTCTGGGAGAGAGCCTACCCGAGAAGTGCGCAGGCGCAGAGCCTTAGCTCGCCATCCTTGTCTTTGTCCGTTGCTGAGTTTGCTGTTGTCTCCACACAGAGGGCCACCTAGTGTGGCGCCTGGGCTTTTGCTACCGGAACCGGGCCAAGGAAGCCGAAGGGGAGGATTTGGGGAGGCTGCGATGAGGCTGAAAAGAAGGAATCGCCTCTTGTAACGGTCGCGTTTTGAGCTTCTGTGCGTTGGAGGAAGGGTACACAGAAGAGATGCTCGCCTGGGTGAGCGTGGGTGTGATGGGGTGTTGGGGGTTGCAGAGCGAGCTAGAAACTTCGCTATTTTGTAGGGATAGGCGAAAGGGGCTCTCATGGTGCAGTAAGATCAGCATTGGGCTGCTAACCTCACGGTCGGTGGTTCTCACCCACCAACTGCTGGGGGAGAAGGATAAAGCTGTTTGCTCCCTAAAGAGTTGTAGACTTGGAAACTCTAAAGAGCATTTCTACTTTGGCCTATAGGCTTGTTATGAGTCAGGATCGACCGATGACAGGGGGCTTTGTTTTTGTTTTTTATGCATAGATGAATGAATGGACGGGGTTGTAAGCTAGTGAGGTGGTAACCTCTAAGCCTCACTTTTGTTATCTCTCAAACAATGATAATAAGAATGCATCTTTCTGGAAAATGCATCCATTTAGGGGAAGATAAAGGAAAAAGGCTATTGCTGAGCTGAGTAGTAACTTAAAAAGTGATTTTTAAAGTATAAAAAAGCAGTCTCATTATGGAGCCTAAAACAAACAAAAAAAACACCATTTTTTTTTTTTGAAGAGGAAAAATTTCCAAAGAACTTGTTACGGTTTAGCCTCCAAGTGGGTGTTCATTTTTCTTAATACTTTTGGGGCCACTTAGAGAAGTTCTAGACTCAGGAATAGATATTTAAGGAGCTCTAGTAGCATAGTGGTTACGAATCGGGCTGCGAACCGCAAGGTCAGCAGTTCGAAACTTCCAGCTGTTCCGTGGAAGAAAGATGAGTCTTTCTGCTCCCTTAAAGATTTACAGCCTCGGAAACCCTGTACAGGGTCTCTATGAGTCAGAACCGACTCCACCACGGCATATAACAACAACAACAAGGGATATATTTAAGAGTTAGGGTCCTTTAGACTGCACAGAATTGGGGATCAATATTCCTGAATTCTAAGTCTGTCAAGAAAACTGTCTGAGAGAGGTTTGTATTGACGACCCCAATTTACCACGTTTTTCCCCAGACTAAGTGGCATTTGTACTAAGGCAAATTTTATCTACAAAGATATTTTCTTCAAGTACATTGTTAATTTTATTTTTTCAATAAACTGTATAAGTAAGGTACTAGGATATAGAATTCATGTACAGAAACAGTAGCTTTGGTAAATACAATAAATAAACAAATTAAAACACGAGGAAAAGGTTATTTAGAACAGGGAACAAATCTTTACAGTGAGGATCATTCCCACCCCCTGCATACACAGAGTAGACAGGGATGGGCAACTTGGACATTGGCTACAAAGGCAAGAAGTGACTGGTTTACAAGCTTTCAAGAGGGAACCTAGATCCAGAGGGCGTAAAGTAAGGTAGAATCTCCACTGAGTACTATCCAGTCTGTCTAGGCGGGGCTGATGAAAGGAAATGCGCATAGGTCTCTTGTGATACAATAGTGAATAATTGTTATCAGGACTGATTGTGAGGGTTGGAAATGTAACAGTAGATGTTTTGTAGCAAGGAGGGGAGTGATTAACTGCAATCTAGGAGCGGAGGTCCCTGGGACCATCAAGGGAGAAGAGCAGAGAGCGGGACCCTACCCAGAGAAGCAGTGATGCCTGAGATGGAGGCAGAGACAATGACGTGGAGAGATGGAACAATTGGGGACTTTAGACACAGAGAGGGAGGGGGCTGTGTGCTGACGACTTGGGGGATAGGCTTGTAGTGTATACCCTTTGGTTGGTTGATGATGCATGGAGGGGACTGTAACCATGGCAGTGAAATGATATACGATAGGATAAATGTAAAACTAATGTTCTCCCATGTAAAGTATCACATAATCTACAATAAAACATTAAAAAAAAAAAAGTTATTTAGAACAACAACAAAATCAGCTAAGACCTAGGGATAATATAATATATAAACAATTGCCACTGAGTTGATTCAGATTCAAAGTCATAGAGACCTTCTAAGTCAAAGAACTGCCCCCTAGGTTTCCAAGGCTGTGAATCTCTAAAGAAGCAAATTGCTATATGTTTCTTCCGCACAGCACAGTGGTGGGTTCAAACTGTCTTGGCTGATGGCCAAGCATTGAACCACAGTGCCTTATAAAATCCGTGTGAAGGTTATTTTTAAAGTGCCGTTGAAGTATTTGAGCCCTGGTGTGGTGTTGTAGAATAAACACTGGATTTAAATCACAAGGTCATTGGTTCAAACCCACCCATTCTCGGAAACCCTGCACAGGATTGCTATGAGCTGGAACAGACTTGACAGCATGCAACAACAATTGAGGAATTTATTGTAAAGTTCTATTGAAGGATTCAAAAGACTGATTAATGAAAATTTATACTGTAAGTATTGAAAAGGACTGCAACGTATTTTGTTACATGAAGAAAGCAAGGTGCAGAATGTTTGGTGTGATATACTAGTTTTGTGGGTTTTGTTTTTAAGAAGGGTGGAAGAAATATTTGTAAATGCATGAAGAAACTTAAAATTTATACAGATGATACTAAAAATGGTGTGAGGGGAAGGAGACACAGCCGTTAATGCAGAGATGTTGTGAAGTGCCATCGAGTCAATTCCGACCCATAGCGACCCTGTATAGAATTTCCAAGGAGCATCTGATGAGCTTGAACCACTGACCTTGCAGTTCAAACGACTTTGCAGTCTGACACATTAGCCCACTGCGCCCCACCAGGACCCCAGCGTGGAGATGACCACATTTTTTCCTGTTTTGTGTTTTCATTTTAACTGTAAATGGAGGAATTAAATGTTTATTCTTACTCCATTCCTTCTCAGACATTTACCACCGCTTTGTTTTTGAAATATTTCCTGGATTAATGTAATACCGCTCTCATTTTTCTAAATCCAAAATCAACTAACAATGCTCCAAAACTATGTTTCTGCTCCTCCCTTAACTATTGGTATTTCAAGTACCTGACTTTAATTATATTCTGTTCACATCCAAGTATCCTACCCTTTGTGATATTTGAAAAGAATGTACTATTCTTCTTCTTCAAATATATGTGCTTGAAGAAATGAAACAGTAAGGGCTTTCTTTCTTTCACTCCTTACCCTTAGTTCTCCCGTCCCCAGAAGCATCCACTGTTTACAGTATCTTGTATATGCTTTGACATGTTTTCATGAATATTCAAAGCTTTTAGGCAAAGCAATAGCAGACAAGATTGTTGTAGCTGCTGTGTTGAGAATAGTTATAAAGAGGCGAAGACGAAAGTGTACAGGTGAATGGAGAACTTAATTAAGTAATGTCAGCACCAGTGAGACTTGTGTGAAGTGGTCAGTTCTGGGCATATTTTGAAGATAAAGCCAACAAAACATGAAGATATAATGGGTATGTGAGCTTAGAAAAAGGATGTGTCACGGTTTGAGCGGCTGGAAAAATGATATTGCCATTTAAAGAGAGAGGTTTGTAGTTGTTCCGGAGACGATCAGGAGTTTTGCATTTGTTGTTGAGTGCTGGCAAGTCGGTTCTGACTCATAGCCACCCTGTAGAGAAGGTTTCTGAGGCTGTATCCTTGTGGGAGTAGAAAGTGTCATCTTTCTCCCATGGAGTGGCTGGTCGACTTGAGCCGCTAACCTTGTGGTTTGTAGTCCAGTGCTTACCCTACAGAGTTTGGTATTATTATTAAGTGCTGAGGAGTTGGTTCCAACTCAGCAACCCTGTATAGATTTCCAAGGAGTGGCTGATGAGTTTGAATGCCAACCTTTTGGGTCACATGACCTTGCTTTGTTGTCATTGCTAAGTGCTGTTGAATTGGTTCCAACTCATAGTGACCCTGCATGTTCCCTCCTGACAATATGTCCAAAGGAGGGAACATGCAGGGTCGCTATGAGTCGGGAGGGAATAGTCGCTGGAGAAGGATGTCATGCTGGGTAAGATGGAGGGTCAGAGAAAAAGAGGAAGACCCCCAACGAGATGGATCAGCCAGGTGACATCATTGATGAAGTCAAGTGTGGCAGTGGTAGTGAGGTTGGCCCAGGATCGGACATTGTTTTGTTCTGCTGTGCATGGGGTCGCTATGAGTCGGTTCTGACTCAATGGCACCTGACAACAACAATAACATAGCAACCCTGCATAGGGTTTCCGAGGAGCAGCTGGTAAGTTTGAACTGCCAACCTTGAAGTTCAAACTAACCTTGCGGTCCAGTGCTTATCCTACAGCACCACACCAGGACTCTAGTATATGGTACGTTGTTGTTAAGTGTTGAGTTGGTTCCAACTTACAGCAACCCTGTATAGGGTTTCCGAGGAGTGTCTGATGAGTTTGAACCACCAACCTTGTGATGGAGTACTTATCCTATGGTGCCACACCAGGGCAGGTTAAATTAAATTCCTAGCCCAGGTAGTGCAGTGGGTTAATCCTTGGGCTACTAATCGAATGGATGGCAGTTTGAACCCACCAACCTCTCCAAGGGAGAAACATGAGGCTGTCTACTTCATAAAGATTTACAGCCTTGGAAACTTGGAACAGTTCTACTCCGTGCCATACACTTCTGTGAGTGGTAAGCAGTGTGACTAGATTTTAGACCTCCAGGTGGAGATTCGAGTAGTCTGTTGGATGTGTAAAGTGGGTATTGCAAGATTGTGGCTCTGATTGATATTTGCTATATTCATCCTCAGATGTATGTATGGTATATAAAGCAATGAGACAGCAACAACTCACTTAAAAATGTAGTAACTGTGAAGCTTAGGCTAAAATAAGTCACCAAATATACTGGTTTAAGTTGAGTTTTTGCCCCCTGAGCACTTAGGTGGTGAGTAATCCAAATATGCATGCTTGGTCTAGTCTTCGTGGTCCTTTAAGGGACCAAGTTCCTTTCATGTTGTCTCTTTATCGTCTTGTCCTTAGAGCCTTTCAACAATGCAAACTGGTTCTAGCTACATGGAGGGAAGAATCTGTACTCTAGGGCAGGAGAGTAAATAGGGTCTCTGTAACTACTTGTGGGTAAAACTGGCTTGTGGGTAATAGGGTCTCTGTAGCTACTTTAATGCAGGCATTATAGCACCAAACAGTCATAGAGTATGAAACAAGGACAAGGAAACTAATAGACATGTGTGTGTTTCAGTAAATCTGTTTACAAAAACAGGTAGGAGGGTGTAGTTTACCAGCCTCTACTGGT